AAAGGAAATGAAAACAATTTTAATACTGTCCAAAAAAACAAAAAAAATTAAATCAGTCAAAAAGATAGTTTGACTGGCTTTCATTGTTATGTGGTACTGATTTAGCTAACAACTCAGCCAAGAGTCAAACTTGTTTCTACAAATACCACAGAAATAATTTCCACTAAAGGAAAATTGCCTTTCTCACTATGGGCCTGCTTATTTTTTATTTAACAAAGGGATAACATTTCTTGTGCTATTTTGTTTCCCAAACCCTAGATTTTAAATTTGGATTCTAGTCTACAATATGGATTAATAGTAGTCTGAAATAATAAATGAAAACAATTTTATTCTTGAACTGCACCTCCATGAATCCCGCATAATCTCGAGCATTTCACATTATATCTTGCTTAATTTTACCTGAAATATGTGCCAATGGACTAAGAAATAGACACAATATTAAAACGTACAACCTCAGTAACTGGGCATTCCTAGCACACTTATGGCCTTTGGATGCTTAATGAAGTTCACTTATTACTTTAGCTTCCTTAGATTAGAATGCTTCCTATTACTTGAGCATAATAATACTTCTTATTTGACAGGGAAACATATATTTTATTTTAATCGATTGAATGATATGTTTTCATTGGTAGATCTTTAGCACTTCTCTGAAGACTTGTAACATTATTAATATTGCACTTGGATAACATTCACCTGTAAAATGAGATAACTAGTCTTACATGATCCCTAGCTACTCTTGACTTTGAAATATGTGACTCATTTTTCAGTTTAATTCAACAAATATCAACAGAATACTTACCATGTAAACCAGACACAAACCAATATGGAAGGACCTGGATAGATATATAAATGAATATTGAAATCTTTTTATCCAAGTAGCTAAAAATCTGATGCATTTAAGATTAAAATGTGTATTTGCCAATACATACTAGATCCTTGCGTCTGGGATGTTATTTGGATGATATATGACTTATTTCAAAGATATGAAATTCATTTATTTGTTAATGTGTCTCATCTCAGGATTTAGAAAACCAAAAAAATGGGTCAATAATTTCATGCATTTATATCCCATCTTCATTGCAGAAAATTTACAACACTCTGGAACATTCATTCCTCCCTAATGAAGCCCAGTGCAAGCAGAAATTGTAGGTAATCCATTTTGGTGATGAGAAAACTGAATCCTAATTTTCTTGGGGTTATAGAATGAGTCAGTAAATGGCAACAGGTGAAAATCTAGGAATTCTCACTCCAGGACTACACAGCCTGTCTCCTTTGTATGTGACAGTTTCTTTTAGCAAGTTCTGCAGAGCCTGATTGCTAAACCATCCTCCACACCTGATCCTTCCATATTCCCTATCCAAACAGCAGTTTATCCATTGATGATTTCAGATGTATCAACAGGGGGAAAAAAGAAGGTGTAATGGAAGAACGGTGGTGTGCAGCGACAGATGTGATCTGTAATCTGTGGCACAGTGATAGAATGTTTCAGTCTTTTTATTTGCATTAAATTTGGAACTGAAGAAAAGTTGGAGACTCCTCCATCAATCTAATTTATAAACATTTGACTACAGGCCCAGCAATGGTAAAGAAACCTGAAGTTTTGCTAGGTGAGAACATCATACTAAACATGTCACCCTAGAAACTCTGTCTCAGTTCTTGGTATCACTAGAACTTTCCTAGCCTGTTTTTGAGAAGAGTGAGAAACCTAAGAAATTTACCTCTTTTTACAATCTTGCAAGCAGTTCCTTAGAGACAGGCAATAATATTTCTTTCTTTACCTAAATCTTCCTAGGTAGTAAAAATCATGTCCATGTTACATCTCATGGTTTCCTTCATCAAAAAATTTGCATCTGAAGTCTAGGAAAATATTTGGTCTTCACAAATGAATGTTTGAACAGGTGCATGCTGCACTGGTCTGACTGAGCAAAAGGTAGTCTCTTTCTAGAAACCCTGACGTGAAGAGAAAGATCCTCATGTATGAAGGAGAGTTTCAGGTGACTTTGAGTCTCACTACCTGGTTACTAACCCCTCCCATTCTGTGTTCTCATGAAGAAATTGATTTAATAGATTCAAGATATTATTAAATACATTCTGCATTAATATTATATGTCCCCTTTGAATCCAAGTGGCAATACAATAGAATTTCATTTTATAAATAACACCTTTCAAGCTAACACCACAGGGCACAGTACAAAAGAATCAAAATAGAACACAAATGCTGTAATCAAATGCAGACCCCAGGAAGGCTGATTAAAAAGGCATGTTGCTAGTAAGAGCAGCCGACAGGGTAAGTATAGTGGGTCAAAGCAGAAAAGCCAGCTGAACAGAAGGGCACACTGAAATAAAACGGACTTGCTTGCCTGATTCACATGGTCTTACGACTCCCCTTTGTCATCATCTCCTTTGGACTCAGGAATTACAGGGGAGAGATATGTGTATGTGTTGGTCGAGGAGGTGGGACTCAAATGTATGTAGGGTCATTAAGTTTATCCTCACACACAACACAAACAAAAGAAAATCTTAAAGGCAACGCCTGCAGCTAGTTGCAGTGCCTGCAGTATGATTCTGAGACAGCCCAACAAAGCTGCTTTCTTTCTGTTTTCTGGCTTTCAGAAAACAACTGTAAGGAAGCAAGTAGATCCCTACCATGATAGGAGAACAGGTAGTACTGTTCCTGGCAGGCATTTGTTAAAAAGGATGAATGTGTGAACCTGGTGCTCTGTGGCCTTAGTCTTGTGACTGTCTCCTCTCCACAGGGCCCTCTTCTCACCCAATGGCTTCCTGTGTGCTCAGTCTTTCACCACCACACCCTTTGTCTAAAGTCAAGGATTTGTTTGTAAATCTTATCTCTAATTATAGAATAAAAGGTTCTGTCCTCTTCATAGAGGGATTGAGAAAATAGGCAGGGGCCTCCCTGGAGGCGCAAGGGGTTAAGGCATAACCTCTGAAGCTATCTGCAGCCTCTGCAACACGAGTTCAACCCCCCGGCCAGGGAGCTACCCACATGGTGCAGCAGACCTCTCCTGACTAGCCCCTGCTCCCCTCAGCAGTGTATTTCAGTCAGTCTGCCTGTTCTGTTCCCCACTCTGTCTCTGGTGAATCCTCTCACCCCACCCCACACCTCTGGCCTGTACCCCAGTTCTTGTATGCATAAATAAATAAAATCTTAAAAAAAAAATAAATTAGGCAAAAATAGGGGAGGTGTTTTAGATATGTACCTCTGCATCTATGTGTAAAACCAGTTTTAAGAATGATCATTGTATGCACCTAATGGGTCATTTACGATGCTTCTCATTTGAGATTGAGAGTACAATAATATAGGGCAGGAAACAGGAAAAATTCCCTACTAAATAAATTTCTGATGTATTTTGCTGAAAAATAGCAAACTATATTCAACAGCCTCCCCAAAAATTGAGTCATGGAACAGTAAATATGTGTTTTTTTAGTTAACAGAAATAAAAGGAAAGAGAAAGAAAAAGTGAGACTTGAAGTGATTTTTACCTCTCTTAAAGGTTTGGGTTGTTTGTAGTGACTCTCTTGATTACCCTCATCATTGGAATTCCAGATGGATCACTGATGCTTGAATTAAGGTCAGTAGTTTATTATTTCTGTACATTTTTTTTTTAAGATTTTTTTATTTATTTTCACAAGCACTGGGTACAGTCAGAAGCATGGAGGGTGAGAGAATTCACCAGAGCCAGAACAGGGAGCAGAACAGGCAAATTGACGAAGTACACTGCTGAGGGGAACAGCAGGCGCGGCAGGAGAGGTCTGTGTGCCATGTGGGACCCTCGCTGGTAGCCAGGGATCAAACCAGCACTGCAGAGGCTGCAGGCAGCTTTGCAGCCCAGCGCTCAACCGCTGAGCCACCGGGGAGGCCCTGTACATCTTTTTCTTAACCTAAAAACTATAGGCAATTAAAGCATATGTAGGCAGCACTTGGGGGGAAGTTATAAAAATACTACTTACTACTTTTATTTAAGAGAATCTTATGTTTCTTAATTCTGACATTATTACTTAACTATGCAGAGAGTCAATTTATTAGTAAAAGTGAACAGTAGTGTAATAGGCTGAAAACACTGGATTTTGATCTCAAAAGTGAGTTATTTCATAATGTGTGTGAGCAAATAATGATGACTGCACAGCTATGGATGTGTTCTGTCTCAGTTCCAAATTTACCCTACCTTTCTTTGGTTCCCATCACCTGAAGCCTAGGTAACCTTTAGAGCCACGCAGCCAGAGGTGTCCCCCAGGACCCACACCCCCCTCCACACACATACACGGTGGTTAATGTAGTAAAGTGCCTCATCACTTTGCAATTCACAGGTTCCCTGGTGCCCAAAAGTGCAAATTTCTAGCAAGTTCTGTTAACATAGCTGTCTAGTAATTTTTCTGTCATCAATGAGTAATGGAGTGCCTTGTTCAATAAGGTTTGGATCCTTATTCAGGGTGCAGGGAACTCTTCCTTGGGCGCTCTATCTCAGCCCTACAAGTAGTGGTTGATCCTTTTATTTGCTCTTCTTATATACTTTGAAATTCTCTATACTTCTGACTAGGTACTCCTTCATTACTCCATTCCCCTGTTATAGTTAGTAATTCTTTATATTAAACTGTTCCTAATCAAATTGCTGTGTGGTTTCTCTCTCCTAATGGACCCTGCACAATACATATCCAAAGAATATTAAAAGAATCTGTATTCTTTGGGAGTAGGGGAAAGAAAGTAATATGATAAGTCATCTCTTTATAGAATGAATTAGTTTTGGTACACTGTGCCTTATGTAGGCCTGGCAATTAGTTGAACAAGAAGTTTTAGAAATTCAATTCTGGGTTGAAAGGTGACAAAAGGATATGATGCTGTATACTGTTTGTAATTGTAATTGTATTTAATTATTTTAAGGAGCATTTAAAACTATCTTACTTGACTTCAATGAGAATATTTTATTTTTTTAAGATTTATTTATTTATTTATGCGTACAAGAGCTGGGGTACAGGCCAGAGGTGTGGGGGGTGAAGATTCACCAGAGACAGAGTGAGGAACAGAACAGGTAGATTGACTGAAATACACAGCTGAGAGGAGCAGCAGGCGAGTGAGGAGAGGTCTGCAGCACCATGTAGGTAGCTCCCTGACAGGGAATCGACTTGTGCTGCAGTGGCTATGGATAGCTTCATAGGTTGCATCTTAACCCCTTGAGCCACCAGGGAGGCCCTCGATGAGAATATTTTAAAATATAAGCTATAGTAGAGCAAACAACAAAAATCATGACTCAAAGGGTATGACAAAATATTAATACCCTAATGTGATTTTGTAGAACATTCATGATACCCATCATCTACGGAGAACACAAAGTCCTCAGCAGATTGCATTAATTTATCAAATACTCATAGCAGTAAAGGTGAATACCATTATCATCCCTGTTTGACAACTGGGAAAACAGGTTAGAGAAGGTTAAGGAACTGACCTATCATGATATGTGTAGTGAAATTAGAGCCAAAAACTTATATATCTGCCTGTGACCTCTGGTTCTTAACCAGTACCCACCACTGTCAAAACAACACTAATAAAGCAAAGGGCAAGTTACCTGGAAGAAGAAACAGAGTGTTTTGTGATTTTTCTCAAAGATCCAGAAAAACTGAAGTATTCCTAGAACATACACCGCACCTTGACATATTTCTGAGATAGGCAATGTATTACTTTTACCTAACAAGATATGACCAAACTGGGTGAACACTGATGATCAAATCCCTAGGACCAGAGTGCTAACAGTGTATCAAAAACCCAGCAGCCTTTATTCAGAGCTGAATTGAAGGCAGATGAAATATTAACAGCAGTTCTAACAGCACAAAATGAAATATGAGATCCTGTATCAGAAATTATTAGTAACCTGTTAAAAGAAATGCTGAAAAATGGCAGTTACCAAATTAAAACTGGGAAACAGAGCCCAAATGGGAAATTTCAAAAAGTTTGGAGGAAAATAAATGACAGATTGTCCTCTTGGCTCTTATTACTATGCCATCCTAAATCCTACTTGGCAATACATGGTGGAGGTGAAATAAGAACTGCATCACTGCCAGTGCTGGTCCTCAAATTTGTAGTCCTAAGTGTCTGTGATGGTGTCTGGGATTGATTAGAAAAGAAGTTGGAATTTGGTAGCATTTTAATTTTATCATTATTGAGGAGCCTGGAGACTCTTATTATGAAAGGCTTCCTCTCATTTGTGAATTGGCCCCTTTGCTCCACTTTTGGATGGCTGGCTTCCTTCATGCAGAGCTACACGAAATGTTCTACATGAGAAAGCTATTCTCCTTAAATGCCATCAAATTTAAAGCATCTATCAGGATATGTTAGTATTTACAACACAAAATATCCAGGATCAAAAATATAGAGGTTTAAAACAGCAAATTCTGGGTAGTCAATGGGAGAGATATTTTCCATCAGTAACCCAGAGAAGAGAAATGACTATAAGCAAGAGTTGTTGAGCAGTTAATGCCAGAGAGGAAAAGGAAATGAACTATAGAACCATAGAATCTTAGTGTTGGCAGAGGCTGTTTCGTGCAATCCTACCCTATCATTTTTCAATGAAGAGACTGAGACATGGGGAGTTAAGGGACTTGACTTGCCCTAGACACATAGTTGTTTACTGACAGTCAGGCCAAAAACATTTCCCAACTCCCAGTCTGGAACTCTGTCGTTCAGCATGCTTCTGCCATCCTCTACTAAAAATTAACACTAACACAGCCTGGAACATGGGAGAATTCAGCATCTGTGGGAAGATAAAAAATGATGATTTTTGAGATGGAAATTAGTCTGGGAAAAAAGGGAAAATGGATAAGTCCCCTTCATTGTGACTCACTGGCCACACTTTTGCTACCCTGTGCTTGACTCCCCTGTGCTTTCCCACAAAATCTAATAAAATAATTTGGCTATAATTCCCCAGGGTTTAAACTTGTGCTTTCAAATTGGATTTCTTAGTGGATTCTCCCTCATACAGGTTCTCTCCAGGTGTCGATTAGTTTGTAGGTGGCACTGCTGTTGAGCCCTATTATTCACATGAGCCTGACTTTCCCTAGCGGTGAAATGTGCTCCACAGTTTTCGTGGAGGGAATCTTCTCCAGGAGGCATTCCTAACTTAGCATGAGATATTGCTTTAAGGTGTAAGAATTACATTCTATTAACCCTTGTGTTCTATTAACCTTGTGAAGCACTCCAACCATATGTGAGCTTTTTAATCAGGCTCATGAGTTAGGTGAAATAATTGTCTTTATTTGGAAGCATAGAGTAATTTGACACAAACCAGTTGCAAAGAAGGTACAATAAAAATGTCTCAATAGGATTCCCTGTGAAAGAGCAGTACAGGTCTTTTAGACCAGTCAAATATTTTTCAGAATAGAGCAACCGGAAATGAGAGAGTCAGACAGTGTGATGAAAACTACAGATGGAATGCTTTGCATGAAAAGTGATTATATACAAGAGAGGGCTCAGGAGTGGGTAGGCGTCGACTTGGAAAGGAGGGGTAACTGAAATAAGAGAAGATAATGCTTGACCAGGTCTAGTAAAATATTCCCTGCCACAACTGCTGTTCCATGAAGAGACTGAGCCAAGAGGCCTGAATAAACTAACCTTAAGTTCAGAGTTGCCATTATTGTGGGAGGCATCAGGGAGAGCACATCCGGATTTGTGTTACACAGTAATCACTGCTGGGTGTCAGCATTCATCAGCCAGATGGTCAGACCCACAATTAATCAATTAGGCTGGGATGATCAACTGGACTAAGTTTTCCTCTTTGGTAAAATACCCTCATCATGTGGTCAAGGCCAATAGCACTTTTATCCTGTTGCTTTTGGAGAAGCTTCTAAAAATTCTGCTTTTCTTTTTTAGGCCTCTAGTTACTAGACACTGTTAAGCTCCAAGCTGCTTTGACAACACAGATACCCAAAATCAAGATTTTAGCATAATAGATTTTCTACATCCTCTATACTCAAATATAGTGTTTATTATGCACAGACAGAAAAAAAAAAAACCTTTTTAGAGCAGTGTTCTCTAAGGAGTATTACCCAACTGATTTTACTAGAGTCTTTGTATTAGTTCCACTCAATCCAGCCAACATCACTGGAAATGATCCTTTACTGGGCACTTATCAAGGGGATATAAAATCAAATCAAAATAATAGCATTTTATTGAGTACTCACCATGTGATAGATCCTGCTGTGATAAGGACTGACAAACATTGGCTCAGTCCTTATACTAATTCATGAGAGCGAAAATATTCCTTTTTCAAAGAGAAGGAAACTGAGGCAAGAGTTCATTTTCCCAAGGTCAAACATTTAAAGAAAACTATATAGAGATGACTTAATACTATGGCATGGAAGCTAAATAGAACTTACTGTATATTTTCTGATATGTCTTACACATCTGTGCATATCTAAAGGACACCAATTTTAAAAATATGGTAGGTCTTTATTATTCCTCTTCAAAGAAATCTCTAATATTTCCCAGCTCCATTGATATTAGTCTCTTTTCCATTCTGTTCTGTCTGACCTGAGATTGCTTTCTTCCTTATTCAGGAGTCAGCACTACTTATTCACTCAGTTTCTACCTCAGCTCCCTTTTCTAGTTATGACCCCTCTGAGCTTATTTTGGAAACTAAGATATCATCAGTTGACTTACAGAGTGTTCTGCCTCCTTGAAAACAAATGTCTTTTACTAATTTATTTTTTATATTGAACCTGATTTTTCCCTCTATTTTATTTTCCCCCTCATCTTGCACAAGGAGAAATGTTTGAAAGACCTGGTGGAAATCTATACCGACCCCATTGAGTAGATATAAGGACATAACGGCGTCTTGACTTTGCGTTTCATCATTGAACTTGAGCCTTGCCTCTCTCAGTTCTTCTTTATCTGCACCTAAATTCAGTTTAAGAAGTGCTTCTCTTTAGCCGCTTTGTGACCAGTGTTTTTTTCAGGCTATACAAAGATATAATTGATCCAAATATACATCTTTGAGATATTAGGGTTTTATTTATAATTACTTATTTTATGGAGTATGAATCTTTTCCCATGAAGCACTACTATGCTTTGCTTTTGTTTGTTTACCTACTTTACAAATTGGAAGAGCAATATCAATTTCTACTTTTGGAAGCACATGAAAGAAAGGTGTTCCAGAAATCATAGGGATCTTCTTACATCCTCCAGGGCTCTACCAGTGCCCTCTTTTTCTGACTGTAGGACCCTAATTTGTTCTTACTGTGTTTGGCAGGCAGCTGTTTTAAGATTTCCCTTGCTCTCCTTTTTGTATAATCCTCCAGTCTTTATCCTAGAGCTCATGAGTTTCTTTCATTTTGGTCAGCAGTACCTCCGTGTGTTGCAGTACTGAAGCCCTGCCATCTAAGCTGCCTTTCTGCCTCATTTTGCTCCTGACCTAAACCCCCCTGCTATTCCAGGCCTGGCCTCTCATGACCAGAGACTGCTGACTCATCCTGGCCTGTGCCAAGCTGTGCAGTCGCTTAGCGATGTGGACAGCAGTCGAAGGACTAGAATGAGATCACTGAACTCATTTCACTTGTTGCTTACGGTACAGTCCAGCATGAGCTGGAAATGTAGGAACCTCAGCCTCCAGAGCAGAAAGAGTAAGTAGATTAAACACACTGCATCACCAAGTCCTCAACAAGCAGCAACTGGGTGGTGGGTGGGAGCTCGCTTTCTCATGGTCGTGGCTAGGGCATCCGGGTTCATCAGGAGTGTTCCTTTGTCCTCTCTTCTTCCTCTCCTCCACAGTCGCACCCTCCCCCCCTTCCCTGAACTTCCCTTCTGAAAAGGTCCGGATGGCACAGCAATGATCTGGGCAGAAATGAAATTTTGCTAATAAGCAGCCTCCGCAAGAAATCCTGGAACAGTGACACTGTTGAAACTGCTTAGTTTAGTTTGTCTACTGGGAACTCACATGAACTTCCCAACAGATTTCAAGGGGATGAAAAAAATCTCTTTTTGTTCTCCTTTTCTTCTTGATTCTCTTTTTCTTTCTGTTTTGAGGGAGGTAGTTTCAGGAGACATGGCTGCATTCTGCTGTGGTGTAAAGTTTTCCGTCGGGAGACAATAATGTACATTCCTCTGGCAGGACGGGATGGCTTTTTTTTTTTTTTTTTTGTTTCTCTTGCTGTTGTTTATTTATAAGACATTTCCTCTCAGTTAGTGGAAGTTAGATCGTAAGAGGCTCCAGTGATTTTCCTTCCACCTCCCCTCCCTAATTTCTGTGCTTCAGCACTCTGGAACACTGTGAACTCGACAAACTAATCAGAGCAGGGAGCTTAGCAGCCAGGCCTGGACACTCTCAAGAGACTGTGCTGATTCTCAGTCGACACTCCTTGGATCAGGAACCACAGTCCTGGTGAGTGGTGAGGTTCCAGAATTTGATGTGTCAAGGATTCTATTCTTGATGTCTCTGAGGCTGTCAGGAAATAAAGGGTGTTTTTAAGAAGAGAAAAAAATACAGTTTTTTTTTTTAAAAAAGCTACCAAACAATCCAGCGGGATGATGAAGATTTTAGTGTGCACAGCTGAGAGCACTCTGTGGACAATGTCAGAGCCTTAAGTCTATGCTCACGAGAAGCCTGCAGACATAGGCTTCACCCTGCCACCGATGGATGTCAGCCTTGACATGCCTAGCAAGCATGCTTGTGGGAGGAGGAAGATAGGTGAGTGAGTGGGACAGGGAAGTAGCATTCGGGGTGGCATGAAGGGATTCATTGTTCATTTGGAATTTCTCTCCACCAACTTTTCATGCATCTCTGTTCTGAGCGTTTGCATGATGCTTGGGATATTTACGTACCCAGCTGAGCAGGAAAGAAAAGTGGCTGCATAGCAAAAGAATATTGTTAATACTGTTCTTCTGAAGATCACTTTGCTAAGAACTGGTTGCTTTTAAATGTTGGGGAACCTCCCCCTTCCCGACCTTTGGAAAATATTATTTGTCACACCCTCTTCTTTATTCTTCTGCACTCATGGTATCGAACAGAAGAATGCAATGAGAATCCTTATTTGGTTCCAGAGAAATTTATCATCCTGACATAGGAAAACTAGATGTCTGTCCTTACAGGATTAAACCCAAATATAGTATTGTCCTCAATATACGAGACTCTGATTGAATGAGTATGTTCTGGGAAGTTGTGGAAAGAATGGAATGGGGGGTGGTTGCATCCTGTCTAATGTGAGACTAGCAAAGGCGTAAGTAGACCAGTTTTCATAGCCAATCTGTGTCTTCCACATCCCTGTTAATAACTCAAAGTCACCCCGGAAGTGGAATTTCAGTTGGAATGTGTATTTGTTCGTTACCATCATGTCGCTACTTAGTTGCTCTCCCAGAGGTATTTGATTGTTCTGTATTTTCTTGTCTTCTTTCCACTTTCAAGAATCTGGCATGTACCAAAATATTGAGTGGAAAAAGCAGAAAACAAAAAAACATGGTGGCCATAAAAACATTTGACTGTGTGGCAGCATCTGAAGTGAATTGCTCTTTGGAGAAAGGGAGGAGTCTTTGATGTCCCCAATATGGTTCTCATAGGCTAAAACTTCCAAGAACCACAATCCAGCCTAAGGGGCACTTACTCGATGTTCTTAAATATTTGGAAAGAGATGCTATTTTGTTGTTTTTACTTGTCCTTGCTATTAACACTTTGCCAGTAGATTCTTCCTTAAAGTTAAAAAATGATTTTACATTTAACCAGATTGTATTGTATATGTGCCTGTTTTGTGTATGCTTGTCCAAGCTCGTGTAATCATCCAACATATTACATTGGTACTTAGCTTGGGACATTTGTTTGCTAGTCCAGGCAATTTAAATTCTTACCCATAGAATTTATGCATGATCATATATTCCATGTTGTCTACAAAGACTGGCCCCTGTCACAACCTCATCAGGGTTTGTCAGTAACTGCTAGAACAGAGTCAGTTTCCTATCATGATTCCTATAGTTTGAGAGCCACATCAAATTTCTCAGCTGTAATTGTAATAGGAAGCAATCTCAGAGTTTTATTAGGGCCAGTATGCTAAATGATTAATGATATATAATGGTAAAATTTGTTCATTTCAGTTAAGTCATGTTATGACCATACTATTTGTATGTGTAATGTTTCTTGGGAATTTTCCATTAGTTCTCTTCTTTTCTAAAGAAAGTTAAATGGGAAAATGGTGTTAAAATTTTTTAAATATGATATGGAAATTAACTAGCTTTTAACCCCTTACCACCAAGACCTATATAGCAGGTTGTGCCTCCCTCAGTTACACTCAGGCTGCACAGACTCCCAAGAGAATTGTCTATTAGTTTTTGTTAGGGTTGTCTATTAAGACTACACTGAAAGGGAGGTGAATCTTTAACAGTTTGAAAACATTCTATTATTGAAACTTCCTATGTCTGTATATAAGTATATAAAAAGATGTTTTTTATAAGCATCTTTAAGCAGAGAATAGGTAAACATAAATATCTAAGAGTATATCCCAGGAGATGACATTTTTAAAATAGAACCTGCCAAAGAGATCTTCATTACTGTTGCCAAGAGCTGGAGTTCCACGTGGCTGTGGAGTATAAAAGGGAGAATTTGATCAGAACACCTCTGATAGAAAGGCAAAATAATGATGTATTCCTCTCTGCTTACATAGTTGTATTCCTATTATGTAAATTTTTCCAATAGCTATAGTATAAACTTTCATAGTGTACTATCAATAATTCAGTTTTCCAGTGCTCATCCCAAAAAATTTAATTTCACTCCTGAGGATGCATGTTGCAAAGTGTATATTTTCTTACATATATATTTTACCTACACACACTTCATATATGTTATTTTAATATAATTAGACAGTTTCAGCTAGCTACAAGTGACATTGGTAAATATAAGAACTGTGATTACCCTAGTAAGATATTATTCTTTCGTATATGTATAGAAATGTTTATTTGTATTTATGTAATTCCTTTAAAAAGATACATATTTTAAAATTTAAAAAGAAAGGGTGATTCATCATTATCGTGTAATTGGGTAAATTGCTTGTAAATGCAAAAATAGGCGAGCAATCATATGCCAATATTCAACTATTAAGAATATGACCAAGTACTGACTAGGCTTACTTGTTTTTGAACTCAATCAAACATTTTGCAAATTGACCCTAAACGATGTGTAGTTGACATGTTACCACACTGACAATACAAAAATTTCACACAAATATTTATGAACACTATCTTGCAAAGGGTAAGATTTGGTTAGCTGATAAGATTGGTACTTATCCATCATCAAATATGCATTTTAGCTTATAAACTTAATTTTTTTAATATTCAACCCCAAATCTTAATTGCTACAAGTATAAAGTATTTTAAAATTAAGTAGAAAGAAATTAAATAGCTATTAATTATCTTAAAATTGAGAATATACTTCATGAATTCACTTTAATTTGTAAGATTGGTTTGATATACAAATGACCCAGTTTATTCTCGTTTCTCAGCTATTTAGTTGCTTGTTGAATTCTTTACATATCAACATCGGCAACTATAATTTTCTGGATACCTTTTCAGGGATACCCGGCCAGGTCATAGGCATGTCGAGTCATACTTTTTTTCCTGAACAAGCTTTTCATGGTAGCCCAAACTGAAAATTGTCATTCCCTTCTGACATTGATGGCATTTTTAAAAATCTATGGCTGTCATTTGTCATTTTGTATTTCTTTGAAGTTTTTTGTATGTATGAAACTACAACTGGTTAAAGGGCAGGTACTACATTTTATGTTTATTTATCTCCCTCCCAACCAAAGTCTAATTGTTTCAATCTGAGTGGAGGATCAGTGAATATGAGATGAATGAATAGATATCTACGTGTCAATGCACTGACAGTGTATGTATCTTGATTATCATAATGGAAAAAATATGTCCAGAAGACAAATCAATCATTTCTTCTATAGATAAGCCCCTTAAATTCCTTTTTCATATCTTCCAACTAACTTGCACCATCTCCAGTCCTTTGCCGAGGTAGCTCCTCTAATCCCCACAATGTCTGGATAATTTCTTTTGGGGCATGAGGTCTTGATTTGCAGTAAAAGTCTTGAGTAAAGCAGATCTTGGTCCACTTCATGCAGTCCACTTCACCAGCCTCACCTATCAGTGTCATAGCTACCAAACGCTTCACCAGCGTGATAAAACTTGATTACGTTCAATCTAGTGGTTCTTCCTTCCCTTAAACTCAGTGTCTGAAGAGCTCATATGGATATCAGATCTAGAAAGGTCTGATGACTGGCTGAGAATGTTCTGTGAACTAGACAGGGGATGGGAAAAATCAGACAAATAGCAAAAAAAGGAGAAGAAGAAAGAGAGCCAAACCATGTATATTATCTTAACAAGCACCAAAACTAATTAAATGCCCCGATTTAAGTAAATAAGAACTGAAAATAGCCAAATATAATTATGTTTTGTCAGTGTGGTGGGACCACTTGGTACTGCTTCAATCATTAAGCCAAAGAACCTAAGGTACCTTTAGTGCTCTAGGGACATCATAAACGAAGCTCCCATTCTAGCACCCTAAGGGTACCCTCCTGACATGAAACACACTCAGGAAGTAACTTCATATACTGCAAGTAAACAATTAAATGAAACC